GGAGCAGAAGCCGGTGGCTGAAGCCAGTATCAGCTGGAACATTTAAAGGGCTATTGACTAACTGCCAGAAACTGAGAGTAGATTAGTTTGAGAGAAAAGTTTCTGGGGCCCAGCCTTAGCTGAGCCCCCATGCTTTCATGAGCTTATCCAGGAGACCCACCAAGTTCTCAGGATGAAGATCAGAGAAAAATGCCCTCATGCTTCCTACATGGGGAGAGGGAAAGTAATCATTGTAAGATACCTCCAGAACATCTGTTCTCATTAACAAAAGCTTGACCTCAAGGGATACTGTTTTACCAGAACCTACCCAACACGGGTTTTATGAGAGCCAATCCAGCAAAGGGTCAGGGAAATACCCAAATCCAGCCCCTCTCACCTTATTGTCTTACCTCAGCGTAGCAGAGGCAGGGAGAGGGGTTGGAAGCACTTGTAAAGATCACTGTCCTGGGACACAGGCCCATTTGAAGACCGAGACTTAATCATATGAATATAGAATGAGACCTCCCACAACACATCTAACTACCACACAAATAGTGTTCCTGCATAATAACACCTTAACAAAAAAGATTAGAAATCAGACAAAATATGCTCTCAGGGTAAGATGGAATTAAACTAGAAATCACTAAATAAATAAGTAAATAAATATTTAAAAAAAAAAAGTAAATAAACTAGAAATCACACAGACAGCTAGAAAATCCTAAAATATTCAGAAGTTGAGCAACACATTTCTAAATAAACATGGGTCAAAGAAGTCTCAAGAGAAAATTTATGCATATTGAAAACATATGTTTAATATCATAATCCCAGTGAAAAACAGCGATCCAATTTCTTTTTAACTGGTTTGTTCTCTTATTCTATTTTCAAGAAAATAGCAATTGTATTTATGTAGTGTTCTAGATTTTTTAAATGCTTTTACACATGTAAATTTATTTAGTCATTTATATTTAAGTGCCTCTGAAAAATACATGATTCATTCATAGAAGTAAAAACTAATAAGCTGTTTCTTCCAAGAACATATTCTAAACTATCTCCTTAGCATTAGAGTAGTTTGGCTGTCACGATTACCTGCTTTCTGACTCTGGTTAACTAAGGTAAACAAATTATCAAACTATTATGCCAAATATGCTTATTTTTTATTTACTAGTATATATTAGTTTCTATTTCATTAAATAAAATAATAATCATAGTAATAGGCAATATTCATCATGCATTCTGTCAGAAACCATGCTAAGTACTCAGATGTTTTATATCATTTAATCCTCACAACAGGGAGACTGTTTTATTATTACACCCATTTTTACAAGTGAAGAATCCAAGGCCCAGAGGAGGAAACTAACTTGTCCAAAGTCACACATCTTTTTTTTTTTTTTTTAATTTTTTTTTTTTTTCTCAATGTTTATTTATTTTTGGGACAGAGAGAGACAGAGCATGAACGGGGGAGGCGCAGAGAGAGAGGGAGACACAGAATCGGAAACAGGCTCCGAGCCATCAGCCCAGAGCCCGACGCGGGGCTCGAACTCACGGACCGTGAGATCGTGACCTGGCTGAAGTCGGACGCTTAACCGACTGCGCCACCCAGGCGCCCCCAAAGTCACACATCTTGACAGACTAAAACTGTAAACTTCTGTCTGACTCTAGAGCAGACGTTGGCAAACTGCCAAATTTTTACTTGCAGGACAAATCTTGTCTGTCACTGTTTTTTATATGGCCTTCACTCTGAGAATGGCCTTTACATTTTTAAGTGGTTGAAAAAAATCAAAAGAAGAATAATATCTCATGCCATGTGAAAATTATATAAAATTCAAGTTTGTCCATAAAGTTTTATTGGAACACAGTCACTGTCATTTATTTATGTGTTGTCTATGGCTGTTTTTTACTCTACAGTAGCAAAGTTGAGCAGTTGTGACCACAAACTGTATGGCCTACAAAGCCTAAAATGTAAACTATCTGACCCTTATAGGAAAATGTTACAGAAAGGTTATACGAAAAGATGACTCCTGTTCTAGGGTGCTAGTTCCTGTCTGCCTCACAACTATAGCCACTATGGGAGCAATGAATTGTTGTGGAGCTAAGTGAATTGTGTGCATAAGATTATGTAGCTATGTAAGAGGCAGAATCAGGATAAAAATAAGGATTTTGGATAGCTAGGCCCATGTTGCCAATATTATATCCATTGCTTTTGCTATCAGAGAGCTAGTCTATACACTTTTGTAAGAAAAGATCCTTTTAATTTACATGGATATTTAATTTTTAAAATTAAAATATAAACAAAAAGATAATTATTTAACAGACTAATTTTTATGATTTGCTTTGAATATTGATCACTATCTGGTCTTAGCCTAGAAATATATAATCTTACAGCATCTCTATATGTGTGTAATCTAACATACACTAAAATGTGTACACATATTTAATTTACACACATATACCAGACATGCAGATATACACATAGTTGCATGTAAACATGCAATCTAACATATGCTAAAACGTATACACATTTAATTTGCACACATATACTATACATAGGTATACATTTACATACATATCTACATGTAAGCACATATGTACGCACACTTTTCCCTGCATATACATTGTAAGCCCTTGTGGTAAGTCATAACTAACCTTGATTTTTTCCTCTCCAATGCCCTTTCTTAAACAGCTACCTCAACTTACAAACACGGAAATAATAAAAAAAATTTTGTCTAGCTGCAAAGGACCTACATATGGTCGTATATATGACCATTACAAAAATGCATTTACAGCATACTTCATTCCAAAAACAGGGAATGAGAAATATAAACGAGATAAAGGGAGTAGAAAAAGCAACTAGAGAAAAATAAAAGCAACTAGAGTAAATAATTACATTTGTTCCGTTGGTTCTATCCAAGTAACAAGACAACTTCCATTTTCTCTATATTGCAACATCCCAATTAAACCAATTATTTTGCCAAACTTGACAGTTTGTTATTTAATTAAATTCATAAAATGTTCAAGGAGAAGTTTTCCTGAGAAATGCTCAGTTATGACTGCATCAAACATCTTTTCCAAAATGCGTGTGCCTTTGAAGAGCACCAAATAATTTTAGTCTAACATGATCACTAAATGTCTAATGTTCTCAGACAAAAGACTGAAGCTGGAAGAAGTAATTAAAACCAGATCCTAAGTCAGTACATCTGAGACTCCAGACACTTAATCTGCATGTGCTGCGGTTTCCAGTTAAACACTAAAATGAGGTAATTTTTTATTCTGATTATGTTCATGCCTCTTGCAAAACCTAACCAGGGTAAAAATGTTTATCTCATTTTTTTCATTAAATCATGATGTTGAATGTAAGTTTCAATGTCTTGTGCTAAAAAGAGAATCTCCCATAGTTACCTTTTATAAGTAACAAGAAAGCAAATTCCTGATAAATTGTGGATAATGTAAATATCTCAATATAATCACCTTATTTTACTCCCTTCCCCTCTCTTTTGTAAATCCAAATAAGGAGTTGTGAAATAGGTTTCTGTGTCATTTTCTCTTCTCACCTTCTTTGTCTCCTCTCTTTGGGGACTTAATACTTGGGCTGGAGGAGGCACAGAGGAGAAAGATTGTCATATGCCCAGAAGTATGAGTATACTGGGAACCTTAGAAAGGTAAAACTGATTAACAGCCACAACATACATATACACACCAAAAGCAGGAGAAAGAGAAAAAAAAGTTTTTGTGAACTTGAATAGAATAGCTGATCTTATGTAACTAATAATTAAATAATTCTGTATTTCCGTGCTCCTGTATTCCCTTTTTTTATTTTCTCTTCTAGATCACTGAAAAAATACATGCCAATTTTTTTAAAAATTACATTTTTTTCCACTCATCTGAATGATCATGTAGTTAGCATATGGAAGAAGGCTTTTATTTAAAGTCTAAGAGTGTCTAAAAATAGTGTAATTTTCAGGTTTCAAGGACCGAAAATAAAAATGCCTGGAACCCATAGAGTCAAAGAGAAATGGCAAAAAGCTCTGGCTTCCTAATACTTAGCCTCGTATTTTGTTTTGTTTGTTTTAATGTTTACTTATTTATTTTTGAGAGAGAGAGCACAAGCAGGGGAGGGGCAGAGAGAGAGGGAGACAGAATCTCAAGCAGGCTCTGAACTGTCAGCAAAGTGTCAGATGCAGGGCTCGATCTCATGAACCACTCATCATGAGCTGAAACCAAGAGTTGGATGCTTAACTGACTGAGCCACCCAGGTGCCCCTAGTCTCATATTTTGATCAGCACTTTCTCATCCCATGGAATATTTTAAAAATTAGTTAGTAATTGGTGTATGTTAAGAGTCCATGTCATCACCATGCTAGGTTTCCAGTGTAATTGATCACCATATAAAAAATATAGCCCAGGGAGGGGAGGGTGGGTGATGGGTATTGAAGAGGGCATCTTTTGGGATGAGCACTGGGTGTTGTATGGAAACCAATTTAAAAATAAATTTCATATATTTAAATATATATATAGATAGCCCAGTATTAGAAATGTTAATATTTAACTGTTTTATTTTAATAACCTTTGTTCTGTCACCTTGTCAAAGATGTTTTAAGAGCCTGACTTTATCGTATTCATGGATAAAGTTTTATGTAAATGTACGTTTAACTTTTAAATGAACTGTAGTAGGGTAAATCATTGTTTAACCTTAGAAAAACCTTTTGGCTTTTTCTCTTAGTAGATTACAGGCATCTAAATGTTTTGTAACCCCTTTTGTTAAAACCTTGTCCTATATGGAAGTTGTTAGTCCTTATTTATCCCATGAGTCTAACACTGGGAAGAGAGAGAGTAGAGAGGAAAAACGAGAAAATAAATTCCCTTAGTCACCTTAGGCTATGGAGACCTGTCTAAAGTCCAGTTTACCTTGTCTCAATCAGGATATTTATAATCCACTTATTTTTTCTACTCTCACCTATAAAGTTTGTTCAGTTTGTGCTTAAATTTTAACCATAATTCTTTAAGAGAAGACCTTAATTATCTTACCTGAATTCCAACATCGGTGATTTTATAACACTCAGATAGAGAAAGTTCCTTTAATTTTTTATGTCTGGAAAGTGTCATCAAACCCTAAAATATAAATAATATAAAGATCATTTTGTGATTATAATTTAGTACAAACAGTATATGTCTAGTAAAATAACAACCTTTTATGCAAAATAGTTTAGCCTCTGTCTTATATTTCTTTACACTTGTAAAATTACTTTCATTAGGCAACATTTTAAATAAAAATTTCAGGTTGTCTCTAATGTTTTATAAAAAGTATGATAGAATCCTCCTGAGGCAAGGGAAATAAAAGCAAAAATAAGCTATTGGAACTACATCAAAATAAAAAAAACTTCTACACAGCAAATAATCAACAATACTAAAAGGCAACTCACTGAATGGGGGAAGATATTTGCAAATGATATATATGATAAAGGGTTCGTATCCAAAATATATAAAGAACTTAACACTTAATAAATGAGTAATCCAATTAAAAAATGAGCAGAAGACATGAATAAACATTTCTCCAAAGAAGATACCCAGATGGACAACAGACATGAAAAGATGCTCATCATAACTCGTCATCAAGGAAATGCAAAGCAAAATTACAATGAGATATCACCTCACACCTGTCAAAATGACTAAAATCAAAAACATAAGAAATAAGTGTTGGTGAGGATGTGGAGAAAAAGGAACCCTCTTATATTTGTGGGAATACAAACTGATGTAGCCACTGTGGAAAACAGCATGGAGGTTCCTCCAAAAGTTAAAATTAAAATTACTATGATCCAGCAAATGTACTACTGAGCATTTACCCAAAGAATACAAAAATGCTAATTAAAAGGAATACATGCACCCCTATGTATATAGTGGCATTATTTACTATAGCCAAATAATGGAAGCAGCCCAAGTGTCCATTGATAGATGAATGTATGTATATATATATATATATATA